AGTAGTCGTGGAAATCTATCAGCAGCTGCCAACTTAAAGCCTCGACTACAGTCGCCTCGTTATAGACTATTCCGGCGGGAGCGCGTAGAAGACTCCACCCGCTCCACCACGTCCTTTTCAATGCGGAATGCAGACTTGGTCACGCTCCCAGGTCCCAGCACATAAGAGCCCCGCGGCCGACTCGGCCGCTATCGCCCGCCGATTGCGCACACACAAAAACACAAATAGGATAATGCTGACGGGCTTTTTTTCTCCCGATGCGGAGTGCGGAGTGGTTTGGTTCGGGTCCGCGCCAGCCCCGCGCCGTGCCAGCTGGTAGTGGCCCGGCGGGGTGTGATACGAAGCACACCAGTTCATATAGCAAGTGACGAGGTGGCCGAGTGGTTAAGACGTCGGACTTCAGACTCTATGAGCTCTACCCGCGCGAGTTCGAATCTCATCGTCATCCTTGGTTATTATGTTTTCCTCGTAACTTTATTTTGAAGATCTATAGTACATGATTCTATTCAGCGACCCATCTAAATACTGTTCAATTTTCAGATAAGAAACCACGATTTGTAATCATTGCTGGCATTACTTTGATTTTGTTGTTTGGTTCTGGTTATTTAAATATTAAAAAATGCAAAACATGTCATAAACATTGTTTGTTTGTTTTTCAGTTTAAAAACTTTTATTTCTCAGTCGAAACTTGGTCTTAATTGAAGACAACCAACAACCAACGAGGCAAAAAGCAAAATATGAATTCCGATCCTGCCAGGATTCGAACCTGGAATCTTCTGATCCGTAGTCAGACGCGTTATCCGTTGCGCCACAGGACCGCTCCTATACTGTGTCGGGCCGCGGACGGCACTAGTGCTGGCGAATCCCTCGACCGCATCGACCCCTCCTCGGCGGCCGTACTCCGTAATGAGCGGGCGAGTTTCCGAAGGGGATGGGTCGTCGTGCCGTGTCGCGCGCGCCGACAGGCAGCCTTACAAAAGGTCAGGTAGGGGTCCGCGCACCTCGCGCACCTGGCCGGGGAGGGGATCGCGTCGTTGCGCGTAGGATGGGCTGCCTACCGCGACGGGGCGTGGCCGACAAGGTGCATTCTCCGACGCGAGTCGACTGGGTTGCCTACCCGACGGGCTGAGCGCACCCAACGTTGCAATGCGCAAGATATTTTACAGGGGTAACTCTCCTTTTTGCTGTTCCCTCCTTCAGCGCTATCGCTACAACAATGGGACGCTAGCAGTTGTTTCAATCACACTTCGCTCCATTCGCATTCTAGTTTTCGGCCCCGGGATCAAAATTTTCAAGTATATAAAATAAAAAGCAACAGTTCGACCCTCGTCGGTGGATCCCTTGTGTGTGTGCGTAAGTACCGACCAGTTGGTGGTATGGGTGATGCAAGATGCCTCTGAGGACGTCGCATGTCCTGGGCGCCCCCAGCTCCTCTCCATTGCGAAACGCGTGGGAAACAGCTGGGGGCGAAGGTAGCGAGGGCGATCTGAACGCAGCCCGTGTGCTGCCATCACATTCATAAATGACACGTAAAGTGTCTTGTTTACGTTATTGAACGAGACAGTCCGAAAAAGTTCACCTACGAATGACTTGTCAAAAATAATAAAAATAAATGAAGATAACCCAACCTTCAAGATTATGACCCGACGAGACGACGCAGCAGCTTCGCGGATTACTTGTCCAGGCGGCGACATGTCGTGCTGGAAATGAGTGGCGATGACCCTCGGTGGCGTGTGATTCCAGGAGAGGCAGAGGAGGACTTCCCTCGCTCCAGGATGTCGTGGGGCCGGGAGGTGCGCGCCGAGGACCTCATGGAGGTGCTGTTCACCGAGCTGCCAAGGCCGGCGCCCATCCAGCTGCCGGGCTTCCAGAACTCGCCGCGCACCTGGAACCGCCGGAAGCTGGGCCTCGACTGCGACGAGGTCTACCCGGACATCTTCGTCGGCGATGCGTCAGTGTCGAACCAGGGGCCTGACAAACATTCCGCGTGCGGTGTCGTCAACGGCGACCTAACCCCGTTCTTTCGTCCCCGCCATGCAGCGCCACGGTCCGCGACAAGCAGTACCTCAAGGAGATCCGCATCACGCACGTGCTGAACTGCGCCGAGGGCCGCCGCGCCGGCCACCTCAACGTCAACGGCTGGTACTTCCAGGACGCGGACATCAAGTACCTGGGGCTGCCCCTCGATGACATGCCGTCCGCCAACATTGAGGACTACTTCCAGTGCGCCGCGCACTTCATCGACTGCGCCCTGTACCACGGAGGTGCGGATATAGTAGTATGGTCGTCGAGAACCTCAGTACGGCACGGCCCGGGGAGAGGAGAGGGGGGGGGGGGCACGGTCCACTGGCTGGCGTCAGAAACAAGCCCCCATCATGACAATCAACGCACAATTACCCATCGTTCCCACTCCCTGATTAATCTCGCACCCGCGTTAGGTTCCCGCCTTGTTGGTAAACACAAAGGAGGCCCCGGACCCGCGCTTGTTTAAACTACATTTCCCCGCGATAGCTCAACCACGGCAACCGCTATGGTCGCCCCCCCCCCCTCTTTCCTTCAAAAATTACGATCCGAACGGATAGTCTTTAGTGGGCTTAGCGAAGCGAGGCGAAACAAAAACAAACTACACTGCGACTCCCCGCCTCCCCGCCGACGACGCGACGTGTCTCCTGATCCCCACCACACATAACAGGCCGCGTGTTCGTCAACTGCATGATGGGCGTCTCGCGGTCGGCCACCATCGTCATGGCCTTCCTGATGCTGCGGCGCGGGCTGGGCGCCGTGGAGGCCGTGCGCACGGTGCGCCGGCGCCGCGACGTGTGGCCCAACGCGGGCTTCCTGCACAAGCTGGCCGAGCTGCACAACCGGCTGCGCCAGGCGCGCCAGCAGCAGCAGCGCTGCAACCAGCGCAGCTACTTCTACCTGCCGCTGCCGTACGCCTCCATCGGCGCCCCCATGGCACAGCCGTAGACGCCTCACGACGTCGTCGCCTCCCCCGTCGCGGAAAATTTGGTGACAACTTTTCTAAATTTTTAAAAAAGGTGAAAACACGCCAGGTAACAGAAGAAAAGTGTAATAAAATTCAAGGTTCCACCGAGATTTGAACTCGGATCGCAGGATTCAGAGTCCTGAGTGCTAACCATTACACCATGGAACCCGATGAACTCTTCTCTCCCCAGTAACGGTTATGAATGGGAGGCTTACGTGGTCCCGTCTCGCGGTGCGCGGGGCCGCGGCCGGCCGCCGACGGGGCAGTCACGTGGCCTTCGAGAGCTCCCCCCTCCACCTCTGCTGTCCGAGCGGATAGGGCGTTGTGCGCGCGTGGCGTGGCGCGCGGGGACTCTACGTGGGCCATGGTCGCCGTCGACGTGGATCGTCGAACTG